GTGTTAGATACCAAGCCTCTCTCCACCTCTAAAAAGTCAAGATAGATAGTATAGAGATTAATTTTTGAAGTATTTCTCTGCAAAAAGTTTGAAGTTCAACTATCATTCAACGTCCAAACTTCTTAACATGTAGATGTCAAGAGCCAATTCTGTACATCTGTCCATTGTTCACATGAACCAGTGGAAGACAAGACTACCAGTTGCTTTTACAAGTATCTATGCCTCCCATCATTCCATACCCTGCTCAAGGTAATGCATGAATTAAGAAATGTGCTTAGTACTTCTTTAAAGAAATGTAGTAAGAATCATGCAATCATAGAATCACGAAGGTTGGAAAAGACCTACAAGCTCATCGAATCCGACTTCTGACCTAACACCACCATGCCAACTAAACCATAGCGCTAAGCGTCACATCCATTTTGTGAACACTTCCATGGATGGTGACTCCACTACCTCCATAGGCAGACCATTCCAATGCCTGTAAAAAAATTATTCCTGATGTCCAACCTGAACCTCCCCTGGTGCAGCTGGAGGCCATCTCCTCTTGTCCTGTTGCTCGTTACCTGGGACAAGAGGCTGACCCCATCTCACTACAACCTCCCTTCAGGTAATTGTAGAGAGCAATAAGCTCACTCCTGAGACTCTTCTTCTCCAGGCTAAACAACCCAAGCTCCCTCAGCTGGTCCTTGTAAGACTTGTGCTCCAGACCCTTCACTGGCTTCACTGCCCTTCTCTGGACACTCTCCAGCACCAAAATGTCCTTCTGGTAGAGAGAGGTCCAAAACTGAACCGAGAATTCAAGGTGTGGCCTCACCAGTGCCACATGGGAACAATTGCTTCCCTAGTCCTGCTGGCCATACTATTTCTGATACAAGCCAGGATGCCATTATCTGTACTGGGACCAGTGTTATTTAATATCTTCATTAATGATACAGATGAAGGGATTGAGTGGACCCTCAGCAAATTTGCAGATGACACCAAGCTGAGTGGTGCAGTTGACACACCTGAAGGACAGGATGTCATCCAGAGGGACCTGGACAAGCTCAAGAAGTGGGCCCATGGGAATCTCATGAGTTTTAACAAGTGCAAGGTGCTGCACCTGGGCTCGGGCAACCCCTGGTATCAATACAGGCTGGAGAATGAACAGATTGATAGCAGCCCTGACAACGGACATGGGAGTGCTGGTGGATGAGAGGCTGGATATGATCCAGCAAAGCGCACTTGCAGCCCAGAAAGCCAATTGAATCCTGGGCTGCATCACGAGCAGTGTGGTCATCAGGTCAAGGGAAGGGATTCTGCCCCTCTACTCTGCTATGGTGAGAGCCCACCTGGAGTACTGTATCCAGCTCTGGGTCCCCACCACAGGAAAGACATAGTGACATCAATCTATGATTATACCAAAATCAGCATTTGGGCACCAAAAGACTCTTTTTTGTTTGTTCATGGATAAGGGATTTGTAACACTGAAGTCATTTAAATGATTATGGCTTATACAAAAGGAGAATGAGGTTTAAAGAATAAACCTATCTAATCACTCTCTTCCTTCCTTCCATGAGATGCTTTATATAAAGTATTGTTGAACTGTACGTGTAGAAAGATAATCTCCTGGGCCTCTTTAGGTCAAAGCCAATGCCTTGAATTGCCCTTGAAACTAATGGGCAGCTTGGTCAGATCTGAGAGCAGGGGTCCCCTACTCCACTGACATTAATTTGGATTAAGTATAACTTCTTACCTGGCAAGGTAACAGCGGTAAGTCTCAATGATGGAGACAAAAGATGCACTGAAGACCTGCTCCCCAGGTTGGTGAGTGAGCAGAAGAATAGCTGGGTGGGGTCTGCAGGTGGATGGTCAAGAACTGCACAAGCCAAACAAGCATGTGTAGTCACTGAGAGAGGTTATAAGGTGTGAATCTCTAGAAGCACAGATGAGGGGGAAAAGATGGCTGAGCAGATGGGCTGGTCAAATGGGAAAAAGAAAATTAAACTAGACTAGTCAGAATATACCCTTTTCACCTCAATGGTGACAGAGAAAGTGATCTTGCTTTAGTCATTTCTTTTTTTAACCAGAATTTCTGAATAAGTAAGTCATGCCTGAGCATTAAACACCACAGATCCGCTTCCAAGAGAGTGTGTTACTGCTCCGATTCTTTTTAATTAGGAAACCTCACCAATCATTTATAGTGGATATTTAAGTAGTGTTTTTCTGTAGAAAAATGCTAATTTTTAGTATGTGTGTTATTATACAGGCATTGTAATAATGGGTCTGAGATCCTACCAGGCTTCATGCTGTAAAAACACAAAGGAAAAAGACAGGAGTCCGTGTCTCCAATGACTTGCAATTTAGGTATAGCAAAAATCACCAATGAAAAGAAATGATGAAGCAGCATTCATTAGTGGGCTCAAAAGCAGAAGATGACAACACTGGCAATTTAACTGTTGTCCTGCTTTAAGTGGTACTGTATCAGAGAAAGAGCCTCGTAAGAAGGAGAATTAAAAATGGAGATGTGTAGGGGTCCCCTACAGTGAGGGGCAACACAGAAGGGTGCCAAGAGGTGATTTGCTTGCAGCAGGCACAAGACAGGTTGACATCATGGACTTTGATATGGGAATTCACTTCAACACTCAATGAGAAACTAGAAGTGGGATGGGAAAGTGTCCATGGCTATGTAAAAGATTACAAGTAGATCACAACTCAATTCTTCTTGACAGAGGGAGGAAAATCAGTAGCAATACACAAGAAGTGGTCAAAGCAGTGACATGGTCAAAGCAGGAAGACAAGAAAATTATCTTATCAGTTCGGTTTGGACAGATCTCACAGGCTGAAGCCACTGTAAGGCCAAAGATGACTTCAGGTGAGGAGGTAACAAACAAATTTCATGTATAGGGATGAAAAAAGAAACACGTATCTTCAATTTATAATGCGGGACTTTGACTTAACCAGAATATTAGACTGTAGAAAAGTCAAAGACAGTGCACAAGTTATGGGGCTGAATAATTGGATATGTAGAGGTTTTATCCCCGGTGGCTAAAAAGGGAGGGGAAAAGACCTTTGAGAAAAAGGTTGTTAACACTCAAGCAGTAGTTCAAGAGCTGAGCCCAAGACTACAGTCCAGACAGAAGGAGTTAGATAATTTTTGGGATGCAGCAACAAGGAGAAAGTGGTGCGATATGCATTCATGGACCAAAAGAGAAGAACCAAAGAGAAGGGAGAGAGTTCTCAAATACTCCCTTACACTTAAGACATTAATTTTTCATTGTGAAAAATACGTCTGAGTCCTTATTTTTAAAGATAACTGTGCGGTCTTGCTGTTTCCCATTGCCTTGAAGGAGATTCTGCCTCTCACAAAACTGAGCCTGACAGAAGTGGGTTTGTGTTGCATATTCCACACGGTTTTCTTCCACTGAGATTGTCATGAGATACGTAACACTGTGCAGGAGTATCTGGTTCACTGACGCTAATCTCAGGGGACACAGCCAGCCCCACCAGCTACAGGCAAACAGCAGCAGTATCACAGCCCACAGCTGAAACAAGTGTGATTCTGTCGATTCTTAGATCAAGCTGCTCATACCTTGGGTTTCCTCCTAAAGTCTGATGGCATGTGACAGACACTTGACAAAAACGCTTAAAATAGCAAAGCTATAAGGTTACCAAATCCTGACATGGCGTATTGCAAGGGAACGGGATAACTAAAAAAGCAAAACAACTGCATCTTCTCAGAGAGCTCATAATATCTAAGATGCTTGACTCTCCAGTTCATGACACATGCTGTAGTGTGAAATTTAAAAATGCAAATCACATTCGAGCACCTTCCTTTAACATGGCATCCATCACACACAGACAACACTGGAAAAAAACATATGCACCGGCTTCAAACCAAGAGCCTGGAAAAGAGAAGACCTTTAGCTACCGAAAGAAAATATTTTCAAAGTATATACTGCCCTCCTGTGTACAACTCGGTATTACCTCCAACAGCTGCTACCTATTTCAAAAATTGAGAATAACGTAGTGCTGTGGTGTTCCAGATAAAGGAGGAACAGCAATAAAATCCTGGCAGGAGTGAACAGAGTGAAGAGACAGTTCAGACCAGGACTGCTGGCAATAAGAAGAAGCTAATCACTGCCACTGGTCTTCATCCACCTTTTATGAAGATCACGTTAAATCCCTAGCACCAGAAGCCGGGAGAGCTTATTAATTCAGGAGGTTCTACAGACCTCCTCCTCAGAGGCAAAACGCAAAGCACCCCCAAGCTGGCTCTGAACCCTACCACTGTCAGTCTGTGAGACAAACCATTCAAGACAACAGAGATTGTCCACAAATGACTGACTGCTTTAACCATCAGTAATTTCTTCCAATTAAAGCTTGTAATGAATATGATAAGTTTGGCATACTTCTGCTTAAATACTTACCTCTGCAGAGATAATTTCTTTTTTGGAATATTTCTTGATACCTTTTTCAACAGTTCTGCTTTTTTTTGGGGGGGGGAAAGATTTTAACTGGATTAAAAGAACTACAGTATGAAAAATTAACTTTATCTCTGTTGAACAACGTTATGCTGAACAGGGGTAGTACCGCACTACCATACATCACTTCTCAGTGTAATACTCACCACTGAACACTTCCCCTTTGCTTTTTATTTCACCTTGTCCTTTTAAGAAAAGCAGGTCCTCGAGCAAATTCAGAGCCATAGTAATAGATTCACCTGGTACACAATCTGTTTCCCATTGCAAGTCACATTTGCACTTGCAGAATCTAAATATTAAATTGAAAAAAACCCTTAAGATAAGAATAAGATTGATTTGAAAATAATACATATTTGTTTTCTACGCATACCATGGTTTCATAACACAACTGAAAAAAAAAAGAGTTTTTCAGATTACTCAGTTACTATTTGCAAAAAGTCCAGCATAATCTTGATAAAAAGTAAGTAAAAACTTCAGGAGCTAAGTAGATGACAGTTGCTAAATTCTGACAATGTTTACATTGCATACTCAAGAAGAGCATTATTGCCGAAATAGATTCTTTATTTCCTGAAACATTCCAAAACAGCAGTATACACAGTTGTAATCAAATATTAAGTCATATGCCATTGTAAGAAAGCATTGATTAGTGCAATTGAATTTTGTAAAAGGTCTATCAAAAAGATTTATTCACATTAAAACTCACTTTCCATAAGCAACTGTTAATAAAACATTACAATTTTATTCTTTGTAATAAAGTACTGAAAATCAACTGTAGTTTTAGAGATCACTGTATCTTCGTAAATGCAATGTGACATATGTGGTCATTTTAAATACAAAACACTATGACAATAAATTAAAAATTGAACAAATGGTGAAGGACCAACAAAACCATGCTGACCCAGTTGGATGACAATTTCCAGTGAATGCTACCTTTCTTCCGTGCTTCTGCAACATAAATATACTGCTTTGTATTGCCAATGGTAAGATTTTGTAAGATATGTTCCTAGCGCTAAAAAAGTACATTGCCCAAAAAATATTATTTATGGCACAGAAAAGTTAAATTATCTCTCTGTTGTTCAAGGTTCAGGCAAGTTAAAATGAACTTAAGTATACAAAATAAAATGTACTGGAAACACCAGAAAAAAATTCAAGCACATACATAAGTACCCCCAAATTCAAAATAAAATGCATGATGCCTTTACACTGAATAAATTATCTCAGAACTTCAGTATGGCAAAGCTGCCCAAAAGCATAATCTCCCAGTTCCTTCCAAGGAAATATTTTTGTACTTTGCACACATTTAGTACTTCAGTTCCAAATGCCAGCGCTGCCATTGTTAATCTGATAACAGTGCAGCTGTTCGGGTAACTGATTAAGTGCAACATTTAGTATTTGATAAGATGTTCATTTTTAAAAATGACATTACATTGTAGATGGTTACATATTAAGATCCTGGGGGACATAATACTGTACGACCCTCCTTTTCCAAATCATTGTTACCCAGCCAGCTGGGTAATGAAATCTGCATTATTTGTTTTCCACTGTTGATGGGTATCCTTCATCAATAGCAGCCATCTCTCCAGTTCCCATCCCGTATTGTGCTGAGTGATGAAAGTGGCTTTGGAGGCTGAAGAAAACTGTATTAACCAAATGATAGGAAAAAAAATGACAAAACAAGTCATATTTCATGTGAAAGATCAAGGTAACAAACATTATTTACTTCTGCAGTGACACTGGCTTTGGGGCTTGCTCAGAGACATCACTCTGGTATATGTCTGGTTACACGTTAATGCACATGTAAAGATCTATGGTGAAATCAAGGTCACTTCCAATAAGACCCCATCACTGTTAATGGTCTTAAGAGCATAAAAGATTTGTACAAAGGAATTAGGAGAAAAATTGTAATCATGCATGAGATGCCTCTAAATGGGAAGATTTGTTTTTTCAGGGTTAAAGACGATAAAAACTTATTTTTGTCACTATGGGCAGCAGACATCTAATGGAAAACTCTCTCCAAAAAGTTGTTGTGCTCAGCATGCTCATGAAAAACCAGGACTTTATAAAAACACTATGCAGGCACTAAAGAATTTTATCAGTTGAACAACTCTACCAAGTTCTGCTCCGGACCCTCTTATCCAAGACACATAATGATGGGTTTCCATCCCACAGCCACAGTCAAGAGAGCCACCAGCTCCAACACTACCATTTCTGCAGGGAACTCACTGTCCTCTGGGTCCCCACCCTCACACCTGGGCTGCATCTCTCATTCATCAACGAGGAGTTACAAAATGCTTGCTGACCATCTTCCAAACCCTCTAGGTACTACCGAGGCAACTATTTCAAATAAGACTAAAAAAAGGAAAAACAACCATCTGATTTGATCCAACTGCCAACTCACTGATGACAACGCAGGCTCTACCTCTAATTTGCCACAACCATAATTTTGTTACACCAGAATTGGCTGAAAATAATGTATCTCAACTCTGTGAAACTATTTCTCACAAAACCAAATCTGTGCCTTGTTTTCACATTACTCTGCTTTTGCTATAAGCTACTGATGCCTCCTCTCCCTTCCAAATGCTTTTGGCATTAAAAAGGCAGAGGTATGTTGTAATGTATGTTGTAAGGCAGGCAGGCAGTCAAAGAGTAGCTTCTTGCCTCTATGCTATAACTGCTTTTTTAGTGACAAAAACACTGTACTTAAGTAAAAACAGTTAGTTACACTTAAGATTCAGCCAAGCTGCTTTTATGTAGCTCCACTTTGCGGCAGCATCGCTTATCTTTGATATAAATCCAGTTAACTTGAGACATAGAACTGCCTCTGCTGTTTTCTGCAACTGCTGCCTTTTTTTTCCAGAAAAAAAAAAAAGAAATTATGTTTAATTATCTTCAACAAAAACCCACAACAAACAAAACAAACAAACAAACAAAACCAAACCAAAACAAAAAAAACCAGAGAGGGCAAAAGTAAAGAATAATTAAGTTCAAAACAGCTGTCAGTTGTAAGAATACTTCCATGTATCCAGAGTTGAATCTCTGCTACAGGGCACTGGACAAGAAAATGTGCCAGCATTGAAAACCATTTTAAACAAGCACAAGGTGTCAGTATGATGTCACGTGCTTTGAGACAACAGTTTTGGAGGGTCTGTAGTCCATTTTTACTTTTCCATCACCAGCTGGATTGCAGTGATTGACTCCAGTGCAAGGCAGCAGGAACAAGCTAGCTTTGGCTCTACAAGTGTGCTTACACTCCTTCCATGTCTGTGCCTGGTATCTGGCATGATCCAGACCCTGAGCTGCTGATTGACTTCCTACCTTTAGGCAGACCCTGTCTCATCTGTGGACTTGTCTGGATACTGGGACTGTTGGTTGACCCTGGTCACCACCAACGCTGCTTTTGCTTGGGCACTGTGGGGCAGCCCTAGCTGTCCCACTCAGGTCCCAGCTCACCTTACCCTGTGAGAAGCTGCCTCCGCTGCCTCTCACACTGCAGAAGGTTAGAAACTGGAGAACTGGAAGGTAGGGGTCTGCAAGAAGCCCCAGGCATGGAGCTGGAAAAGGTTGAGGGTTGTGTGGATCCACTTTAACAGGAAGGAAAAAAAAGGTGCTGCCTTACTTGTAAGGCTAAGAGATGGATGTTACCATCACAATTTCTTTACACTACTTGTGGGTGCATGAATGGCAAGGAGAAGATTTTTTTGGCCAAGTTAATTATCTTGGTTGTTATAATTTTATTTTACAAATTATTAAAAGCACTCCCTCATCCTTTGATTCTATGCAGTAAATACTGAAGTTCCCTAATGTAACCCCTATATAATGTGTCTATATATATATAATGTCTCTCTCTATATATATATATAATCTGTATTCTGTTTTAAGAATCTAGAATACCAGTAACATAGCTACTTAACAGTCTGGCCATAGGTACGAAGACACAAATGTGCTCTGAATGTGCACTTCTCCCTGAACATCTGATTTATTCAAAAAACTCAAAAGACTTGTTCTGCTTTTAACCAAGTCATGACTAAAAACACTGTTTGATTCTGAAAGAAGTTTAGAGTCTTGAACTGATTATCAGAAATATCATTCCTTAGAAATGACAACAGAGATAAAAACCAACAGGGAGAAAATCTGCCTGACGGCTGAATGCCCTCCAAGGAAAGTCCACATGAACTGAAACCACCTGTATTTTTCCACATGCATCAATGAAATTAAATGAGGGTATTAAAGAACTGTATGCTGAGCTCCAATCTACCTGTGCTTTTTGAGTCCTATAAACTTGTCATTCCCACAGTTCAAAGACCATCCATCTTCAAGGATCACTGGTTTGGCTCTATGGCAACATATGATGCTGCTAAGGTACATTTGAAGGAAAGAAGACAAGAGCCCAGACTTTTTGGACTATAAATAGCTTTCTTACTGATTTGAATCAGCTTCTAATAAAAACAAGTGTTGAGAGTACAGTGTCTCACCCTCCCACTGAAACATCTTAATTTTGTTTTTCTTTAATATTGTCTGAAAAGTTACAAAATAGCAAGGGACTTTCTCACATGTTGCTATGAAAGATTTAAGAGCTCTCCATAAGAACATGAAGTTGAGGAAAGGAAAAAGAAAAAAGGAAAGAAAACCCTCTACTATAAAGAACTCTAACTGAGAAAGTTCCAGCTGAGAGCAAAGGAGGTTATAATAGAAATCTCATGGTACAGTCTTCATCAAAGAAGAAACCTGACAGCTCTTTATCAAAGTTTCACTGCAGTTGGTCAAAATCCGTTGTCAGTCACATCAGTGTAATCCCCAAGTAACTCAACCAAAGAGAGAATGTGAACAATTGAGCTTATTCTGGATATAGCTAGTATGTAGTGAAAAGTATAAAAATGATGAGAGCTAAACAGTGACAGTTCATCCAACAGAAAACGAGGTGGTCACACAGCAGGCCCTCACAAGAGGAGGGATGGGAATGGGAGTGTGCAATGGGAAGAAACCGTTGGAAGAGTTAACACAAGTTGACAGAGGTTTTCTTTGAGAAACTTCATCACCTATTAATTACAGAACATGCAGCTAGAGTTTAACTCCCAGCTGTGATAAGGTGATTAAAACACAGTCTCCTTCCTCAAGTTTATTTTATTGCTTGATTTAAAAATAATTCATTTGGAGATTAAATTCTCTTGGAAAAATGCAAAAATGCATTTGCTTAACAGTACGGTTCATTGCAAGTATGTGATACTCCAGGATTCCCTGTTTGCCTATTGTCTCCCAGCTAGAATGGAAAAGATGGTGGTTCAACCCAAGACTGTACTATCTAGGATATTTCCTTCCTCACAATGTGTAATGTCACAACTCATATTTTTACAGTCTACTGCCATTTACAACAACAGGGATGCAATTCTTTCTATTTGAGTACTCTAAGATTTGCTCGTTCTGTGACACTGAAATAGCAGTTGGCACATGTCTGGAAGAAGGTAAGCCACATATGTTCATGATATGAGGTTTCTGTTTGGTTTGATTTCTTATTGATGGGTGGCAGTCCATTCTTATTTATATATGATTGCACAATATCAATTATCATAGTTTACTAAGGGCTACCAGCAAGCACTGTCCCTCACTATTTCTGGCAAGAAACCTTTGCCCATTCAGTGACGCCCCACTGGTAGACAGAAACTCTTACGTTTTAGAGCTTCATGTGCAGGAAGAAAACAAAATCCCACAATTTCAGCCTAAGCCATCCCCACAGGGACAGAGGCCTGTTTAACTCTTACCTTCGAACTGGCTGTGCAATTTTACTTCTGGGAATGCCACTCCCATTGACGGCCAGCGATGGTCTCGGAAGAGCACTGCGCCCCACAAGCCCTTGACTGGCAGTCTTGTTTGGCATTGGGATCCCAGTGTTAGAATATAACTGCGAGTTGCTGGACACTGGAAGACTGCTACTGCTACTGCTACTACTACCTTGTACGGTTGGGCTTACGTAGGCAGTAGCTTTGAGAGGCTGTCTGACAGACACTGGAAAATGTCCCACACTGTGAACTCGGTGCTGAAGCTGTCCTGGTGATGGAACTGCAAAAATTGATAGAAAAGGAAGTAAGAAGGTCACTATGCAACAAATAAGGCCAAGTAGTAATGTTCATTTCTAGATAGATCGGAATAGGGATAAACACATCACCGTACCATTTACTTACTGACTACGAACTGCTCAAAAACCCCTTGGATCCAATGCTGTATCCAGTAACCCTGCACTGAACTAAAATACTGTGTTCCACCCCCATACTGAACAAAAATAGTGGCTCATATTCATCCTTCTTTCTCCCCTCAAAGGGGTTTCATTAGCTGTTATAAGCACACTAAATCCATCTACACAATCAGAACTTTAAACAGGAGAAACTGCTAAAGGTATAAATTAATTAATCACTGTTAGATCATTTCTATTTTTGGAAGGTGGCTTGCAAGAACTACATCTTGCAAGAACCACATTCAAGTATTATGAAGCATCAGAGAAGTCTAAGCTTTCTGTATAAAAACAATAAAAAGGCTATAAAAAGGTCTTGAATGTAGCAGCACATTCCAAGGCTGATGTTATGTAAACTATCATTTTAAATCAATGCTCTGAGTTCCAGAAGCTTTATATATAGATTTTTCTATCCAATCCTGCCCTCTGGTGTACATTTGACATGCATCAGTTTCAGAGTCCATGTATCAAAAGCGAACTGTCAAAAGCCTGAAGCACATAAACTAACACAGCGTGTCTAGAGCAATCAGTTTTCAAGTCTTTGAAAAAGGACATCTTAAAATCATTTAAATTCAAATCAGCAGAAATTTCAGGGCTGTGATTCATTTAAACTATATTGGCAACATATTGTCAAGGAACTCTGATCATAACAGCTCCTAAAGTACCCCAGTGCAGCCATTTATTAGAAATGTTTTTTTTTTAAAAAATTACTTCAGAAAAATTACATTTTATATACACACAGATATATAAGAGTATAAATACACAGAGAAATAGAGATTTCTAAAATATTAAATAAAATTAAACTCTCAATGCAATACCATGCAAATTCATGTGGGAACCTGAACTACTTCCATTCTCCTATTCAAACAGGAAAAAAATACAGGAAAAAAAATACAACAAAATAAATCCATCAGTCAAGAATATTTTCCAGAAAAGATGTAATTTAAAAGTTTTGAAGACATTTGTAAATTCTGCTCAAATTTGAAAGAAAACACCTGAAGTTTTTTCCAACTTCTCCCTCCAAAGTCTCACGGGACATGGAAGGCATAGGTTAAATCCTTTCTTCTGTCTACGTCCAATGAAATACACTTTTTCCATTTCCTCTCAGAGTACCTCAAGCACTGTGCTAAAAAAGATGGGTTTGGATCTTGATCGATTTTGTTCACGTTCTACATTAATAATTCAGCATCCACTAGATCAATACTCCTTTCATTTCCCCCATCAAGAAGACACCTAAATTAAACCAATTACAGTCATTTTAATTTCCCCACTCAACAAGTATATTATACTCAAGGATACAATGTTTACTACATTTGCTTGGAAGAAAGTGGCTCAAGTTCAGTAGGGGACAGGTCATGTATTTTAAGATAGTATTTATACAGCGGACTGTAAACCCAACACTGCATACAGTATCAAGAAAAGCAGTTTTTAATTGTAGCACCAAAACTAAAAATGTAAACTTACGTGAATTAATTGGATTATTGGTGCTTCTACAATACTACTACTACTTATTATCAAAATTTCAGTTTTAAAGTTGGCACAAGATGACTGGGCAAAGAAAAAAAAAGGTGAAGAAATGTTCAATAACAAGACTGGCAAAATTTGCTTTCAACAACAGAAATTTTGAAATCCTGAGTTATATTAAAATCTGGTGCAAAAAGAACAGTTTGCTTTTCATTTTTTCACAGAACAAAGGATCAGTGACTGAGACGTGTATTTTACCACTCCATCAATTCCTTGCATGCAGCCTAAAAACACAGGTACTTACTACTTGACTGCATCCTTGAAATCCCATTACTCGCTCCATGTAAATTGGAGTCAAAGCTCTGACTGTTCCTCACAGTGACGGGAGAACCAGCAAAGCCAGCATTACTGTTAATGGTGGGGGTACTTGGCATCCGAGTGAGGTTAGGCATGCTTCTTCGAAGTTTATCTGAAGCAAAAGAAGACAACATCCACAGTCAGGTCAGAATTTCCAACAAACACAAGCAGCCTCCAAGTAATTTCTGTAGAAAACCAAAATTATAACAAATTACTTCAAAACAAAGAGAGGTTTTGTTCTGCAGGAGTAATATGAAAATGCTACTGACTATTTTTACACCACGATTATTCACAAGTAATTTTAAAGACACCAAGAAGCAGTACATTTGCAGAATTGCAAGGATTTAAACAATAAAATGTCATAATACGGGTAAGTTTCACACAGATGTGTAAAGTAGGTCAGATGCGTTTCTTCGCAGAGAATACAAAAGCAAGGCTGCAGTGACAGTCAGACACGGGAATTTACACTCTGGATGTTTAAAGACTGGTGAGATGAATCCATCCTAAGTGACCAAAGTCTTGCTTTCAGGTGCCAATGAAATGCTAAAAAATTCCATTCAGAACCTAACCTTATTAGTATGTTAAGTTTCTGCAGGTGGCCACGTGCAAAACCTATGAAGTCTTGATGCTGTTCAGTTGCCTGGAGCACTGGGTTGACATCAGAATTTTCAAATCTCATGCTTCTCCCTCCTACCTCACTTGTGGTACCTGATTTGATAAGCATTTTCAGAATAGGTCTGTAGGGCCTTCCACAAAAAGAAAGCTGCAAATGCCCCAAACGTTTCTGGGGCAGGTTCAACAGCTAAGGCAAGTGTCTTAAGAGGTCAGAAGACATCTGCAACTCCACTCACACTAACTGATGTGGAGAGAGAGAAGCTGAAACCAAGTCTGACATCTCAAGACTTCCCAACCACAACAGCATCAGGTAATGCTCTTTTGGTCTCTTCTGCTGCTGGGCCAAAAGGAGATGATTCAGTTCTGTATAATCAGAAGAGACTGGCAGGGGCAGAAAGGTACAGACTGAATGACCTGGTCTGAATTGCCTCCTGTGACATGACAGACTTCAGTAAATAACCGCTGTGGGGAAATAATGGGTCTTTTATTAAACTATCATTAACACACCACCAAAGGTTTGCCTGTTGGCCAGGCTGAGGAGCAGCGGTATGCCCTGCTGAGGTGGCTGTGTCTTTCCTGGTACCATGGTCAGCATACAGGCCACCAGCTCCTGTTCCTGACGTAGGTTCCAGTTCCTGGCAGATGTTTGTCCACAGTTCTTACACTGCAGCAGAAAGCAGGGGTATGCTTGTCTTGTAACAGGCAGCTACAACTGCTCTCTCCAACAGCAAGCAGGGCATTTCCAGATTGATGTTTTGGTTTTATGCACAGGAACAATACATGACACTGCTTGGAACTGCTGGTATGGGTCGACCTCCTAGCTCACGCAGGGCAAGTTCAGTCCACAGAAAAAACATATTTATTCAGAAATCTCTGTCGCTCAGTCCACATAAACACATAACCTATTTAGCACCACCATGAGCTTCTCTAATCCTTAAAGCTGCTAACAAGTGAAAAGTAATACGAAGTGACAGTACAGTTCTATCTATGCAGGTTATCAGGAGTCACTAACAGTAACTTCAACATACGTGATGCCTGTGTAACTCCAGCAAACTGTGTCACAGCAAGGCATCTCCAGCAGAAAAAGGAAATGCAAGATCTGAATCCCTGGCCAAATCCTAATAAAGAACCACTTAAAGGGTAATGCTTTACCAAAGAGTTAGAGTTGTACTTTAGTGACTAATTACTGACACAGGCAGACTGAAACTGTCAACGGCATTGCAATGAACATTAGCAAAATGATTACCACTGTGGTTCAGTCAGGTGGTAAGTATTAATATCACTGATGAAACAATGATAAAAGTTATCAGGCTTCTAAAACTGTCCTGGAGATGCAAACAATGGCATCCACACAGCTACTGCATGTCTCTTTTTTCCAAAATACTCATGGATTTTGCAAACTGAAAAGGGAACTGTCCTCCTGTGATGCAATCCTTGGCCCAGAGTGGCAGAAAATTCATGAATATGGGATGTCTGTAGCTACTGTTAATTCTAGCCTACCCTTTAAAGTCCTAGGTCCTGAAATCCTTGGTCAACACTACAGAACTTGGCAAAAAACGTTTGAGCAGCTGGATGGTGGTAGGAAGATGGCACTGCATAAAACAGCTTTTCTAATATCATGTTGTATAGCAGAAGTTCTTAAGACTCTACATGCTCTTCGACTCAGGGACTGCATTAGCCACACCAGGCACAACCTGCGCCTTCAACTGTCCAGTGGATGCAGCTACAACAGCAGACAAATAGGTACAAAAGTAGCCTGGATTTCCTCCATGTCACGGGTGGCCACATCTTTTGCCTCCTCTCCATTAGTCCCTTCTTGTTCCAGCAGTCTGCTCTGCTGCTGATTCATTCAGTCCTCAGGCAGCAGATTCCTGCTGCACCTGCAAATTCTCATCCATCAATCAGCTGCATTACTTCTTTGATGGGTCCTTGTGTCTGCTGAGATAAATGGCCCTGAAAAGCAATGAAAATAGCAGGTCAGTTTTGTGTTTGGGGAAAACCCAGAAACGTTCGCCCTGATGGCATTTTGCAGCTTTCATCTCCTTGGATGATGCATCTTCTTTCATCTCTTTCTTGAAGTTTGTTCTGTCACCTGCTCCCCTCCTAAGAACTGTGGAAATAGTCTTACAGACGTTTTATTTGTAAATGAAATGCTGGCACTTGTGAGCTTAATATATGGAAGCAGACGGTAGGAGTTATGTGATTTAAATATTATTTCAGGCCAGTGAATGTGACTTATTTCACAGAGATGTGACTAGGTATAAGCTTGCTGGAAATATATAAGAAAACAAAAATATTTTTCCAAGTTGCCAGTAGCAAATGCTTCCTTTCCAGACCTCTTTTCTTTGCTCTCCTGAGACTGATGAGAAAATTAACAGAAAGGAGAAGTGAAGGAGTAGAGTTGAGATGTATTCTCAGGTGAGAAATAATTTGCTCAAGTAGTCCTGTTTATGTTGAATGCTGAAATTTGCTACAGTTTTTGCTACCTCTTCTGCACTTATCTGGTTCAGTGGCAAACCTAAAAAAAGATCAGTTCCTTGCAGCTTGTTCTGTTAGGAAGATGTGGATAATAACACTAGGGATTAGGGACTCCAAAGGACCTACACCTGGTTCAGGAAACAACTGGAAGTGGACTTAGTGCCATGTTCTAGTTGACAAGGTGGTGATCAGGTGAAGGCTGGACTTGATAATCTCAGACATCTTTTCCAACCTAAATGATTCCGTGGTTCTACAGCATCCATAGTTACTGTGACCCATTAATGAGTCTCAACTATGATTAAGGCTGAAGCAAAAATGATTCTTGAGCAGCATGAAGCCACATAAAGCATCACAGATGGCATCTTCACCTTTCCCAGCCTTCTTTGAGATATAATAGCATGACCTACAGACATTGTATTGCTGAAATATTTGAAGTGTGAAAAAAAATTCAAGAATAGGTCATGCAAGGGGAGTTAATAACTCATTCCTGGTTACTATGACGTTCTCATAATAACTCGTGCATATACACGTGCTTGTTATTTCACGAGCATTCTTTAGGGGGCATACACTGCCCTTGTTTCACATATCTGCAGTAGAATGAAACACCAAAATCATCTACTGCATGTTTACACTTTTTCCCATATGTAGCATCCATGCTGAATTAGCCCACTGTCTACAGCACAAGAAAAACTGGGAATTGTGAAATACAGGATCGTCTGCCCTCAATGGAAAATGTGCATGAAAAGGTCACCCCTCAGCACAGACCATATTCACTACTGCTGAGAAACAGGTTGAAAAGGAGGCAGAAGTGTCCCTTATTTTGTAAAACATTCCACAAAATTACAGTGAAGACAGCAGTTGGCCTCTTACTCAGCTGCTTCAGTTCTGACTTTTTCCAGGAAGCTCTTCTACTGATGCTATCTCTTCTCTGAAGTCAGATTGGGATCAGTGGCCCAGCTTCTTCCTGGCAGGAGACCAGAACAGGCAGCACCTGCCTTCTGTCTTCTGATCCCAGCACCGCTGGTGGCTGTCCCCATTCCACTGCTTCTTTTTTTTCCCCTTCCCTGACCTAATACTATCACCAGCTGCAGATTAATGTCCATGCAGCACGCAAACAAACCTTGCCCTCGAAGCAAATCTGCCCCAGAAGAGGTGCACTCTTGGTGGGCTGCCAGATGGGGACTTCTGTAGCAGTTCTTGATAAGTATCATCTTCTATCTGCCAAGATACCTCAGCCAATGAGGCTCTCCTTGCAAGGAGGGCTTAAGATGACTCTACAGTGAAGTGTCTTAAAACACATTTATTCCTTCATTGTTATTCTCTGCAAGTGTTGGCAATGTTTTACTTGAACAAAATGACTCATGAGCCTTGCCAAAAGTGCAGTATCATTAAGGAATGTGATACAACGAATAAGAATTATTATCGGCAATATATCACTGTTCGAGCTACGTTAGCAATTTCTTACACTTATTTAATTCCTTTACATAAACCCTGCAAATTCAATTCTGCCTTATCTGTATTGTATGCACAAATAAGCTGATGTGAAGAAGACCTGAGATCAGTACCTGCATTACGTTTGTTATAGTTATAACATTTATGACATCCCAAACACACCACAGTCTTATTAATGGTCTGTGGAGTCATCAGCTGATACAATAGACAGTGGTAAAAATGCAAATATGGATTAAAAACTAAAAGTCCTGAAGTTAAGTGAGCGATGCCATTCTTCATGATTGCCAATACCTACATTTCTCTAATGTCAAATGTTTTATTCAAAACTATTACTTCATCTCACCCCGGTTTCACATGCATATGTTTGCCACCACAGTCAGTTACAGCCAATTAAAGATTTTTCCATTATCCTTCCATGACTCCTCCCACTGATCATTATTCTCAATGTAACTTCAAAGGTAGCAAAGTAAGATTATTTTTCTTGTTTTCTTTAATAAAGTCTGCAACAAGTTCCTAGAAAGAATTCTCCGTTTCTTACTGAACAAGAGAGGTTATGAGCAGAAAACCACTTCATAAATTAGTAAGAACAGACTTTTTCCCACCTCTTCAAACACACAAATCAATGTTAGTCTGCACTGAACTGATATATATCTAAACACCAATCTACTGCCCCTGAAATGCTGCTCTTCTGTATCTGCCTGCAGTCTGCTTTGAAAAAACCCAAACAACAAACAGAAACCACATTTGCAGCTTTCAAAATGAGGAAAGAGTGCAACAGCCCATAATGTTCATAATATTTTGCCTGAGAAATATTACTCCCCAGAAGAGCAGGCAATAAATTAACTCATAACTAGTAATTTCTGGAAAATAAAAGCAAAATTTTTCAAGTGAATGGTATCTGTGGCCTGGTTTATGAAGGTCTAAGCCAAGGTAGAAACTTAAAAAACAACACAAAAAGGTAATGGAAAATATATATTAAAAGTAACCAGACAGAATGCACTGCTACTCCATGAATGACGTATTTTCATCTGCCCCTTCTTACTGTATTATAAGTTCTTTCTTTACCAGGAATAATTTGTCCAAAATACAAAGTTGTCAATTTTCAAGCATTATAAAAATGGACCCTTAAAATGCACAGAAATAAGGGTTTCCAGGATAAAAGTTTATGAGTAAGCTGATCTCAAGAGCTGGAAAGTGGGCCTGAACACAAGAAAATCAATCCCATTTTCAGTAACTTGTCTATCCTGCATTTTGACTACTCTGGATGATTTCACAGCACTATAGTTCTGTTACTTCTAGTTTCAGAAAATTAGAAGTAATAAAAGGCATAAATACTAACATCTATTAAAAAAATAAAATTATTAAATAGAAATAAATTATATTTGTTAAAAAGTTAAAATGAAAGCAACTACTTCTGTGTCACAGTAAGTAAAAGAAGTGCATATTTATGGACAACATGAAGCAGAAAACAGCCTGGTTTTATGACTTTTGGTTGCATTTGTTATATGAAAATGACTATATGTAAAGTATTCTTGATGTTAATAGATAGCAACATTTTAAGTTGCTAACTATTAACTTCTTCAAATTAGAGAAATGAGAGGTATAAACATAAATCTTTCCATTGTAAACATATTAAAAGCTTTATCAAATTATAAAACACAAACTAACTAGATGGACTCACCTTAGCTAATTACAACAGATACTCAAAAGCTATTCACCTCCTCTCTCAGATCTTCTTTAAATTATCTATTACTGACCCACTAATTGATTACAAAATTCTTGAAAACCAGAATACCTTAAAAAGTTCACAAATGGAATTTTTCTGATGTAACTCATCATTATAGACAATTCGGCTGATTTAGGGAGCGTGTGCAATTAAACAACAAAAAACCCCCAAACCTATTTCATACAAAGCTTTTCTATTTAGTGTATTCTTGCCAGAACTGGAAATAAAACCTATTAGAAAGCAAAGATAACATACACACTCTACAGGCAACAGTTGCAAAAATGTTGTGTAAGAGGTTAACAGGTACACCTACTGCCTATGCTACAAGTGGCCCCAAAGACACCTTAAACACATCGTAACATATTTCACAATATACATACATTTTCTCGTATCTGCCACTTTATGCTACTGTTTACCAAGACCCTTTCAATACAGCAAGCTGTGGGGGACTGGCAGTAAACGTGACTGGCACCACTCACTCTGACATGGGTGGGATAAGACAAGATAAAGAACCTGGGCCTGAGAGTGTGGGCTAAATGGTGTGCTATATTAAACCAGAAGTATATATTTAATTTTTTTTGTACAGCAATTTAAAACAGGGCAGAGCATCAAAACTACAGCAGGGGCAACACTTTGCTATAGTACATTGGCAGGAACAATTATGAAGCTCAAAATTATGGCTTCAAACACAGCTGGAAAACATCTGTGAGCCTATTCTCACCCCAAGCAAAGGCAGAAGATTAGCAGGGTGCCAGAAACTGTAAACAATTTCTCTGCTACCTAAATACAAACCTGTGGATGGAGAACAAACACACCACTGGTTATAGGGAGAGATTAGACAACTAGTGCACAAGTGTCTATGTAGAGGTACCTCATGACATCTGACAAATCCTGGGTTGTCTATGGCATTTAAACAGAACTGACACAGGGCGATGGTGAAGCCAGGGGGCATAAAAGTACCTCATGTAGCTCTGTGTGGACAGCTGAATTGGGCCGTTCATACACAGGTGGGCACCCACATCTCAGAATCTAAATGTAGAAGCTTCTCATCAGGCAACCAATATTATACTCTGAAAAGAATTATGGAAGTTTTCCATGTTTATCACACCTTTAGCATATTTGTTACAGTGCAGGTAATTAAGTACCTCAACCAGAGTAAACAAACATCACTAGAAGCAGGCAGGGCAGTATCTGTCACACCATTTGCCTAGAAGCAAAAAATCAAACTAAACACAGAGACTAGTTTGGAGGAGACTTTGTGTCAAAGCTAAATACTGTTTTTCCACCCCGGACAGAGTGTCAAAATTCAACAGTTACTTGCTGCTTACTCTTCTTTTATGGAGAGCTCTATGAATGACCAGATGAAACAGGGGCCAGACCCTTGACAGCATATACAAGAATACATGTGATCTCTTTGGAGGAAGAGAGAGGAAGAAAGATTCAGGAAGACTGTTGGAATGGCCAAGACCAGCAGCATGTGGTATGTACGATCTTTATTAATTACGGATCATACTTTCCACATATACTGAAGGCAGAAACAAAATAGTTCAGCTCTTCCATCTATCACATCCCTCTTTCTCATTTGCCTTGGTAAACTGTTAACAGTGTGGAACATACCATAATCCACCATACTGAGCATCAGACAAATTTCTATTCTGCAGTCTATCTCCATTCAATCTGCAGCAGTTCTTGAGAGACAATTAAACTGTTGCCAAGATGGGAAGTGCCAATGAGATGATGATGTAATACTACTCAGACATATTCAACACAGTGAACACTTTACTCCTTGTCTCTTTGTCTGCCAAAAGAACACAGTCAAAGTAAAATGTTTCTCACCATCAGTATTTGCCATTTATATGGATCAGAGCTGCATGAGTCAGCGGCTGAAAGTGTAGAAACTGAAGAGACAATTCCCCTCTAAAGATAGTGGTATAAGACTGTCTGCCATTCCTCCAAGCAGGTAACTGAAATCACACATGTCCAACTTCTGGGTGACACCAAACACATTATCCAACACCTCAAAGTTCTCGAAAAAAAAGTCAACCAGGTGGTAAAATTGATGGTCTTTTACGTTAATAGACTTGCTAGTTAATAAACTGGGAGTGTTTCTAATGCCCTAAAGGTTTCCATGTGGGAATCCAATGCTTAAGTTCCACTGACATGGAACATTTGAGGGCCACATAAAAAAAAAGAAATAATAATAATAAAAAAAAAAAAGCAAAACTACATCCTGTCCTTCCTGAAACAAAAATGCTGCATAACTTCCCTTTCTATCTCCCAACATTTCTGCAAGCCCAGCAATACTGTCCCATTCTTGTACCTCACCTGCAAGAAAAATAACACTGAAATTAATATGGCATACATGCTGCACCAACAGACACCCACGTTGCTCTACCCTCTGCTAACATCAGCTTTTCTTATATACTGCCACTTGTCAATTATACTTCCACGACATGGCTTACTTTGAATGCAAGTGCTTTTGGCACCAACCTGTCTTGTCTTATTTGTCAGAAAAGCAACATGCATACCTGTAGCACTATAAATAGCAACTGTGTGTTGTTTTGAACAACACGTTTATTTTCTTGCCCAAGGGTGAGCTGTAACCTGTAATGTTACAAACAAGACCTTGGCTAGAAATGGACTGCTTAGAATTAGCTTGGAGGAAAGACTGAAGAAATAAGAAAGTAAGACACAGCAGAAGGACGAAAATTGTGATCATAACAAGAAAAGAAAAGTAGTTAACAGCAATAACGTAGGGAAACTTAAATCATGAGTAAGCACCAAAAAAAATCTTCCAGAGGCTCTGGAATACATTTCAAATGCAGTGCAAAAAAGCAGCAATGTCTCAGGATAGTTTGGAAGTGACAGTATCTCCCACCACTTTAACGGTCAGCCCTATCAGACCTAGAACAGGAGCAAGGTGTTGACCCCTGCCATAAGCACTCATCCTGGATTCACAGCACAGATGCATTAACAGCAAGCTCAGGAATAAGAAAGAGAATGAAAATCTGAAACCCCTGATTTGTATGTAACTGTATCCACGATGGACATGCATACCAAGCTTGAAACACGATCAGTTCTTCTAACCAACTAATAGTCTGTTAAACATGCTCTTCTTTCCTTTTCTTCTTCTTTCTTCATTCGTGGTCATCCTTGCAGCATTTTAAAACAGATTAAAGCAACAACTTTCAGGACCAGGTCACAGATTACATTTTGTAGCAAACAAATGCTTAACAATAGCATATTTTTTTTAATCATCCACACAGGCTTAAATTATTTGTCACAATTTATGGACAAAACGGAACTGGCACTTGACGCAGAGAGAAGACCACTTCTCAGGAAAGCATGCAACCCACCTCCATTAATCCTATTTGGTTGCTGATCTGGAGTTTGGGCTTGAGGAGAGTAGTAGGGTTGCTGATAAGTATTTGTAGGGAATTGTGGGGAAGTAGGGCTTCTCCTGCAGTCCCGGATACTGGAGAAAGTCTGCGAGTGAGGGATCCCTCTCTGGGAGGGGGAGCAGCGAGTCAGACGTGGCTGTGGAGGTGGAAGGTGGTCAAACTCTTCCTCGTCCTCAAGACTATAGCGATCATATTCCTGGTCACCACATGTCCCTTTCTTTCCCGCATGCAGAGAGACGCTGGAAGTGTGCCTTGACACAGATGCTGAAGTCGAAGCATAATCTTGCCTAAGGCCTGTAAATCCCAAGAGGAGGATGATTCAGCTCCTGCTAAGTGATTAACTCTTAATATGCACTTCCAGCTTGAAAACTAAGCAGGTAAGTAGACATAATTTTACACCAAAAATTGGATTTACAACATAACTAGGCTGAAGATATGACGTAGGATTCATCTGATCTAATTTTCAGTTCTACCTTTTAGGCATTTAAGCCCAAATTATTTCCCTCAAGATCCCTTTTTAATAAAAAATTGAAAAAGAATACCGGTGTCTCCAAAAGATGGCTTAGATGTCTCTCTTGACAGAAAATGAACCCCCTCACAAGGTACCTAGTTCTATGCCAATAAAAAGATTACACGAGTACTAGGTTTTTAACTATAAAATATTCTTAATTAGAGCAATTACACTCACATTAGTTTTTGACGTTTTTTAAACTTATAACCCATGTAAATATTCTGGCTCTCCACCCTCTCTGAACCAGAAGTAGTTCTTGAAAGCATCTGGTCTCACAGACAAGGCTTAGTGGTAACACAATGGTCTTTTACATAGGTACACAATCCTACCACCCTTTTCTTAGAACACCAGGTTTTGAATATCATCTGGCTATTAGCACTACCCCAGAAGAGCCTGTTTGCTCCAGGTCAAGTGAGAGGGAAATATTCACAACCCTTGCACATCCCCCCTTTCCCTAGCTGCACAGTAGCCAGGGAAAAAGGGGATGTACATCACATTTCCAGGAGCCAAGCAGCTCTGCCAAGAGCTGCAGATAACAGCTTTCCTACATTTACAAAAAGCCCTCAGCTTCAACAGATGTCTTTGCTTCATAATAGAAACTTCTTAATATGCTTCCTCTCCCCCTCCTTGAGTGGGAGTTTCTATTTGTGGCTGTGAAGAGAGCGTGCCTGCATGCACGTATAGAACTACCACTTTCCACAGGATTACATGGACAACAACTGTCACGTGCTCAAACATCCTGTTAGCTGCTACTACATGGATACAACCACTGCACCTGACACAGATTAGAAGAAAACCCAGTGTTTTTCTTTCCAGTTTGCCAATGACCTAATTCAGAGCTAAGTACCTGAAATATTTTTCAAACCTCACTCTGAAGGAGATGAGCACAGCTGTCATTTAAGTTATGCAGTCCTTGTTATATTTGATAGTCATAATTTTTTTCTTTTTAAAATTAAAACACTTGCTAATTTCTCTGCTGAACATAATAAGTGCTACTAAACACTCAGCAAGTTTGACTGCTGACAAGTGATCACTCTGCCTGCTCTGTCTAGTGCTTGCAGACAGATCACTGCTCTATTTTTTCTTCACATTTTTTGTTTTATATAATCACTTATTATTTGGCATTTTCCTTCTGGCCCCACCTCTGAATTTCTCTTGCTTTTAATATCACCAATTCTTCCTTGATGTCTTGCTTGATACTAATAGGAAGCAAGGAAGATACTGCACTTACTGTCTCAGTGACCTCTAAGACAAATGCCCTTTATTTATGAATAAATTTTCCAAAAATTACTATTTAGCCAAACTATAATCTTTGTCAAACAAGACTTTGGGCTCAGATTTGTGATAATCACTAGTTTCAAACCAAGATGCTAAATTTAAAGGCCCCGATTCAGTATTCGAAGGGGATTT